ATGGTGACTGGAACAGTAGCCAATAGCCAAATGTGTGTTTTGAACGTGATAGGCAGTTAGGAAGATTAAGAAATTGAATGTTAATTTAATTTCATTTTAATCAAAGAAGCCACACATGGCTAGCCCATATCTACTACATGGGTTAGGTAAAAGGGTTTTGTTCAAAAGAACTACTATCAATAAAACGTAAATTCCTCTGTGTTCTTTTAAAATCGAAAGATCTTGGCTTGCCTAAGCAACTCTAAAGACTGGTATATCAAGCCAAATTGACTGGTGCGAGTAACAGTGCCTCGGGAGAATTTGCGTCATTTTGAGGACTTGTACTATGTGGTCAATTTCTAACATCAACCACGGACCTAAAAGGAGTGCTGAGCATGCGTAGTCTCCACAGTGAAGTATAGAAGTGGGCTGGGTATTGACATGCTTGCTTGACAAAACAGTCTTACTTTGGATTGCTCCCCCACCCCTCGCAGGAATCTGGCGCTTTGCGGCTGCCCCTAGATATGCAGGAGACTCTAAGGTTCTTATTCCATCCTTCTTCCCTGCGCCCGGCCCGCCCCCAGCCTCCCAAAGCCTCTTCATTTCTTACTAGAAACCCCAGACTGCAAGGGAAAATATGGGGCCCAGGTGAACAAGTGAAGTGATAGAAGTACCTTTTAGGTGCTCGCTAGACACTAAGATGCTCAGTTAAAGCATCTTATCTGCACGAATGAATGTTTCCGTGTGGCAAACAGATGAGACCCAGTAAGGTTTGCTTTTAGTGTACAGTTTTTATCATGTGAAGCAGACATTGGTCCCATACTTTAGGCGGGGCCCTTCACTGGAGCTTGGAGCAATCCTCAAGCTTCTGCTCACACACAGTACTCAGCCCCGTCATCTCTTTCCCTACTGTCTGACACCCCTAGCTTTGTTTGCTCTTACCCTCTCACAGCTTATACAGACCAATATATTTACGCAAACGGATGAAAATATATTGATAGAAACTGCCCCCCCCTTCCAGGCTCCTTACAATTTAATAGCAATCTTTTGGGGCAGTGTCAATTTACATAAATGGCTCCCTTTGAATTTCATGCTGTCTGTTTAGGAGATGCATTTTGGGACTTTAGTGGCATAAAAAAATATCCCATAGCAGATACTTTCCCGGAGCCTGGTCGCTTATATAAAAGCGACGCGTTCATTTATAAAATACACTTCAACAGGGTTTGTATTTTTATACATCTATGTGGTTTCGAGGTGTAGACCACTGATTTGTGTATTAGCCACCACTAGCACTACAGATCACTTCTAAGACACGTTAAAATTGGCTCCGCCCCCGTCTCTTCCCCTTACCCCTGGTATGATTCAGACCAGGTCTACAAACAGGAACATTTGCAAAGGATTTGGAGATTAAAAATACGACGCTGTGATTTTCACCAAAAAAGACCACAAACAGCGATAGACAACAAGAACTATTTAAGAAATCACATCTCAAGAAGTTGGAGGACGACAAAGTCCGAGTCGTCCAGGAAGCCTGCAGAGACTGATCCCGCTTCCGCCCTGCAAAAAGCCGGGCAGGCGACACGTTGCGACGAGTTTCAGCTGCAGAAGGGGAAGAGCATCACCTGCAGTCCGAGGCGTGGGAAACGCTGCCCAACCGGGTTAGGAAGCCCCGGAGGTAAACGCAACGCGGAGAGGGGCCCTGGAGGGCTGATCCGGTGCTGAGTGCGAGGTAGCCTGCGCTCGGCGTAGCTCCAAGACTCGGCGGGGAGGAGAGGGGTGGGCATTTCATCGTGGGGACGGCTGCGACCAGGGAGATCACTGCAGCCGGGGAGCCCGCAGCAGCTTGGGCGTCCGCAGCTGCAACTGACTGGGAGGCCGACTGAAGCCGGAGAACCCCTTCAGCTCCCGGGAGTCGGGGGCGAGGCGGAGCCTTGACGTCACCTCCCCTCCCCCAGCCGCTCCTGGAGGGAGGAGTGGGGAAAAGAGGCTGAGATCCGCCGCAGTTGCCGGCCGTAACTCCTCAACTCGGCAGCTGGCTGCCTAGACATGTCCTGACAAACTTCGATTCTCCTCGAGACCTTCTCTTTTCTCTCCAGACCTCGTGCGCCCGCTCTCTCTCCACCTCTTTTGGTGCTCAAACTTTCCCCGGGTCGGAAGCCACTGGAAATGCGACCACCTAAGTCCCGACAGCACTGGAGGCTCGCACTCTGGTTGGGGATATGTTGAAGATCCAAGGGAGGCAAAGTTGGTATTTCGAGCCCGGCTCCTAACAGAAATCCAAACGGCGTGGGATTTACCCAACTGCCGGGGACTGTAAGGAAGAGCATCGAGGACCGGGCTGCTGTGGTGAGTTCTTTGTTCAGTGCATGCCTTGTAGAATTTAAGTTTAAACGTAAATGAGATAACCTGGAGGTGTTTCGCTGTAAGTGAGTGGGGGAATTTATGGGGGATCTCGCAGGTTCTGCGCTCAGGGAACAGGACTCCCCCGCGGCTTTTACGGGGCGCGGGAGTATAAGACAAGCATGCGCAGCTTTTGGAATTCACAAAATACACACAGAGCACTGTTCAAAAGAACTTGAGAAGCGAAGCCGTTTGTGCATTATTTTCAGTGTAACTTGTTACAGAAATGGTGCCCAGGGAGGGCGCGTTGAGAACTGGGTGATCTGCAGGGGCGCAGCGCCCTCTAGTCCGAGCATCAGGCAAGGCGCGCTCCTAGCTCTTAGCTAGCTCAGTACAGACCTCGAACTTGGACCTGCCCAGCACTCTAACGACGTGGACCAGACAGAGCTCAAATGCTTCCACCCCAGCCTTCATTTACACCGGTCCACACTTAATACATTTCCAAAACTCGTTTTGGGTGGACTGGGTGCAGAGGCCGTGCTGGGGGAAATGTTTTTAGGGGGAACAGTCCCCCTTCCACCTAATTTCCTTGATGCTCCGGGGACAGGGTCAAGGAAGATGGACTATTTAAAGGACGTCCGTGGAACTTGAACTATACTTCTCTTCATGTGAAGGTAATTCGCTCGTAGCCAAAAAGGTATGTCTGCATTTAGTTTCGTTGGTGGCTAAAGAATTAGCAAAATGTGGCAGCCTAAGAGACTTCGTCTTTGGCTTTCAGTGTGTCCTGTAGCGACCAAGTGCAACTTCTTCCAGGCAGTGATATTTATCAGTGAGCCTGGATAGTTAGGATTCTTAAGAAGATATTTTTGTTCCTAGTAAACAAGAAATATATATGTATATTTTTGATATATATATGTATATATATTATAATTTTTTTCTCATGAATTCCTTTGTACCACTTAGAAAATCCAACGATTTAATGTTAGGGAATGGTGTGTTTTTATACTTCTTCTTGTCCTTCTCCTCTCCAATCATCACTACCCCAGGCCTTCTCACATCCCCTCCCCCAACGGCTGGCTTTCTTGTGTGGCTGTGTTTTGTTGAGAGTTAAAATTCCTTGAGGGTCGCAAACCGGTTCAGCTTGGAGATCAGGTCGTTCGTTTTCTCCGCGTTCCGGATACGGAACTGACCGTAACTCAGCGAGCACTTTGTGCGGTTGTAGCCGCGGCCAGACGAGTCTTTGGTTTATGATGATGTTCGTATTTGCTGGGTGTTGTGAATTTGTGTGTGTTCCAAACAGTGAGCAGCGGGGAATGGAATCAGCACACCCATTCTGCAGGCACTACCTTTTCTTCCTAAGCGTAACCTGCTAGGCACCGTTATTATTATTATTTTCAGTCAGCTTCCTTTAAGGTGGCTTAAGAAGTGACATTAACTTTGAGCCAAAGAAATGCTTCCTTAACTAGTCTCACTAGCCCCTGGCTGCTGTGCGGTTCGCCCTGCAGTCTCTTCCACCCGCTCCTAGGGAAATCTGGTCTCTTTGTCGTCGCGGCTTAAAATGTTCAAGCCCCACAAACTTTCCGAGGTCAAGTCCTCCCTCTTCTCTGGGTTGCTCCCCAAATCGAGTCTGGCTTCGGCTGACTCTCGATTGCGCTTCAGCCGGTACCTGGAACTCTGCCCACGCCGGGAATGGGACTTGCAGCCCCGGGATGCGCTGTCTGAGCGCTCCGGCGCCAGAGGGAGTTCTGCAAGTCGGGCTCCTGCTAGCCAGGAATCTCCCATTCTCTCTGGAGAACCTGTAGCTGTGGGGTCGGGATCTCAGACTGCGGGACTCTTGGGGGCGGAATTAAGCGCTGAGAATGCGCACAGGGAGGCTCAGCTGCCTTTGTCTTAATAGACGTGGGGGTGGGGGTGGGGGTGCGTCTGTCCTGGAGGTCCAGGAGGGTCTGAGGTCCAACCGAGTCTGCATTAACAGGTCTCGGGAAAACTTATGCACCTCCCTTTCCCTACCGGGCTTAATGTGGATTTCAGGAGGAAGTAAATTCCGACCTAACTGCATTCCTTTCCAGACCCTCAGTAGTTTTTCACTCCGGTGGCTGCAGACTCGGAGCGAGGCATTCAAATGCCGATTTGGGGATTTCCTGGAGGTTGGTGAAAGTCTAAAGAGATGCATGGGGGTGGGGGTGACCCTTACGTCTTAGGTGACTTCTCCTCCCCCCCTTTACTGTCTTTTTTTGGGGGGGGGTAAGCAAATGTTTCCCCTTTCCTAGCAGGGAACATCCAATAAAATTCCGCGCAGCAGCAGAGCTCGAAATTCTAGACCAGACTGCCCCTGTCGCACTTCTGCCAGCTCCTCGAGG